TCTTCACAAACAATGTAAGAATATAACAAATAGTATACATTAATATTCCTATTTGAAGATATTTTTACTGCGGTTTAATAGGGCTCATTGCCTTAAGTTTTAAGCTCTTTTTAATGTTGATGCTTTTCAATTTTTCTAAATATTCTTTGGTGCCCGGCTCTAAGTCCTCCAGCTTCTTTGCTGGCCCTGGAAATAATATTCTTTGGTCACAATACCATTCATTCAGAGTAATTACTTAAATTTATTGCTGCAATCCAGGTTATGAATGAGATGAACACGGGAGAACACGGGATAATGCATACCACATTCACTACCTTGGTTGGACCAATTAATGTTCAAAATGATAAGTGATGGGGCCCTATTGGCTGGTCTCTTGCTTTTTACATGTAACAGTCTCTTTTGAGGTTTTATTTTTACACATCTCTAAAATTATTAGCATGCATAATATATGTGGTACTGCCATTCAGGTTGGCCCATTCACGGTAGGATTTTGGCGCCCCTTATTTTAGTTGAGTTGCTCTGCAGCTGACTCTTGGGCTGTGTTTCTGGACTCAGCATAGTCTGGCTCAACTCGGAGAGCTAGGGAAGGCAAGCCAACCTCAGCCTACCCCAAACAAGCTGCAGCAAGCTCTTTGAATTAAATTTGTGACGGAAAAATCCTGCCTTGAATGGGACATGCTGTACGAAGGATTTGTCTGCCAGTTCAACAGATTTTAAACTGATAAGTAAAGAAACGTGGCAAAATGAAATTCAAAGAGACATACAGTGCTGAAAGCTAGTTCCAAGATAAATTGCAGGCATTCTCCAATAATTAAAGTACTTATTTATTTTACCTGTGTAAACATTCCACAACCATTCGGGGTATTCGCTGTCTGGTTTAAGTTCAATGTCTTCACCAGTCTGCATGAGATTTGAGCCACATAGGTACTTCACTAACTTTTTAGGGTCCTTTTCAACTTCTAGTTTAATTTTTTTGGACGCGCCTCCTTTGTCTTTGGATTTTTTACCAAGTCCAGCAATTGCTGTACAAAAGAAAAGGAAATTTAACATGCAACACAATAACCTAATAGCCGAGTGGAGATAGAGCATGAACTAACCTGGGTTAGACGCTTTAACAGCATAGTGACGGGCGATTGAATACAAGCAAGAACTTCGCTGATAGTATAAGAACAAGCTGGTGGAATTCATGGTGGACTGTTTCACAAAATTAATAATAATAATTCAAAAACACTAAGCAAAAACAGGATAACAGCAGACAACTCTACTCATAAATGTGGATCTAATAATTCTCATCAACTACTGTTTCTATGGAAACATGTATGAGAAATTTTTGAGCCATGTTGCAGGATTGGCCAAATGTTCCTTTTCTTTCTTGTTGTATTCCCAGACGCTTGAGACACTATCTCGTAAACTATGAGAAGCTATGTACACAAATTATCTCCCTGTGGTGTGGAGAGGGCCCTTTAGAATAAACTTCTCTCAGAAATCATCCCACTGTCTGCTACTCCTTCTCCCCCCGCCTCCCCACTCTAACAGAGTTCGTCTGCTAGATCGATCACCGATCAAAACAAATGTCTCAAACTTCCAACCCTTTTCGACGAGAGAGGCTAGAGAGTGTCAGGCTGGTGGAATGCAAGCAGTTGTTCGTGCATACTCTCTTTTTGGTCTGACAGCCCACCGATGAGTTAATTCGGAGTCTAATGCCGGTCGTCAAGTCAAATGGAGGGAACCATGTAAGTAGACCCCAGGGGGAAGTCGGTACATATCGCGAATCATTGATTCAAAGACGTGTTGTTTGATTCGGACAGTTTTACTGTTTTACAAACAAGCTGCTGTGACGGTGTTTTACTTTAAATCAAACAATTCTGTCTCTTTTGTTGTCATAAATCATTATGGGCTGCCCACTGAAGGACAAGAAGAGGGCGTTCAGCATCCAAGGCAAGCCCGTCGCTGATGGCGTTGGCGCTGGCGGGCGTGCTTTCCTCTCCGTGGCCCCCGCCCTGCCAGTGCTGCACGCCGGCGGCGCCCCCGCGGCCGCGGGCCACGGCCCGCAGGCTGGCCCCCGAGCCCCCCGGCTCGCCAGGCGCTCGCACAGCTCGGTGGGCGCGTCGGGGCAGCCGCTCGGCACTGTCAGCTGCAACGCGGGCGTCGTCGGCGTCCTGAGACCTGGCGAGACGGCGGACGATGGCGAGCTCCAGTCGATGCACGACGGCCGGCTGCAGGTGGCGCGCACCGTCAAAGAGAAGGAGAAGAACCCCGACAGGATCAGCCTGGATAGGTGAACCAACCAACCAACCGAGGGGGAAACGACTCGAGATCTCGTGTACAACTGATTACCCGGTATTACCCTCGGATTACCCCCTGAATACTCCCGGATTACCCTTAATACCGCCGGATAACCCCCAGATAACCTCCGGATAACCCCCGGATCACCCCCGGATAACCCTGAATTACTCCTGGATTACGCCCGCAATAATCACCAGATTACCTCCGGATTACCCCGGATTGACACATGCCGTGTCTAGCGGATTACCTCAGTCATTTCCCCCTCGCAACCAACCAACCAACCATGTTGCTGGAAAAGTGACACATTTTAGGGTTCATCAAGGAAGTGCGTCCGTCATATTTGCCATTGTGAAACGGCCAAGTTCAGCCTGGCTCTCGTAGCGCCTGGTAGGTAGGCAATACCTTGCCAGCACTGCATGCGCGTTCTGCAGCGTGGCCTACCCGGAGTCTCGCAGGCGCCGAGCTGTCGGCTTTTGCCTCATGAACCTGAGAACAAAACGGACGGATTTTCTGGAAGAGGCCTTCATTTCAAATATACTTTTGTGCTAAATGCTGAACGCCTTGCATTAGGCGCGGTTTGAACGCTGTGCCACTGATGCCCGGGGAGTCCCGCGTGCGCCTGCTCTCCCTGCAGCACAACATCATCACGCGCATGGACTCGCTCTCCGCGGCGGGGCTCACGCTCAGCAGGCTCGTCTTCCTCGACATCTACGACAACCAGGTGTGGACCACTCCCCCTCCCCCCATCCCCCTGACGTACTGGCCCCCGCCTCATCCTTCTCCTCCGGCAGGTCGATCGAATATCGGGGCTCGACTGCCTGGACAACCTGCGCGTTCTGCTTATGGGAAAGAACCGCATCAAGAAGATTGAAGGTTTGCGGCGGCAGACCCGACTGGAAGTCCTCGATCTGCACGGGAACCAAATCACCTCAGTCCAGGGGCTGTCATTCCTCTGCGAGCTCAAGGTACGCTCAGCGGTCAGCATGGCAGTCGCAATCTGGTAATCTAAGCAACTATCCCGCGCAAAATAAAAGCGTATATTGGCCGTTTTGTATCTGGCAGACAACGACCAACATAGTGCGGAAATGCGACGAAGTGTCCAGATATTTCGTGGTAATGTCACTGTTTCGCGTGTAACCCGGGCCACACCGTGTTCGTGTTGCTGGTAAAATAGACAGCGAGATAACGACATTCCAGAGGGTGCCGGCTCCCTCGTGTTTTGGTCGTATTTTCTTCCTAGTAGAAAGGGAAAGAGAGAGAAAAGACAGCCGAGATGTCGGGAGGCGGGCACGAACTAGCGACTGTGCAGTACACAGGCCGGCACGGTCTGGTCAGGAACGACACCTGGGGATAGAGCAGACGGATTCGCATCCAGCACTCCCAGTCTTCACTGATAAACTAAGTGTTGAACTGCTCAACACTTGCAAGTTGAATCCTTGCAAGTGTGCAACTCCTCGGTTGAGCACTTCCTTACACAGTGAGCGTTCAATCTAAAGAAGTGTTCAACCGAGGATTTGCACACTTGCAAGTACACACCTACTGAGTTGAACACTTGAAAGTGTACAACTACGGACTTGCACACATGCAAGTTTTCAACTTGCAGTTGCACACTTACAATTGTTGGGCAGTTGAACACTTAGTTTATCAGTGTTCTACCCGAGTGAAGTCGAGTCAGTGCTTCCGATCAGTGTAGTGCACCCGGGTAACACGCGTAATAAGTGAACGGCAACAATAAACAGTGCCACGAAATACCTCGATACTTCATTGTATTTCCGCACTATGCTGGTCGTGACGACAATACGGCCAATATGAGCGTTTGACGTCGAAGCACGGCGGTCGGGCCGCAGGTGCTGAACCTGGCCGGCAACCAGATCCGCTCCGTGGGCGCCACGGACCTGCAGGGCCTGCGCAACCTGCAGGAGCTCAACCTGCGGCGCAACAGGCTGCGCAAGCTGCTGGGCTTCGGCGACACGCCGCACCTCGTCAAGCTGTTCCTCAGCAACAACGAGCTGAGCAGCGTGGAGGACATGTACAGCGTCGCCAAGGCCGCGCACCTCCGTGAGGTGACCATCGACGGCAACCCGGTGGCGCAGGGCGGCGACTGCGTGTCCTTCCTCGTCTCGTACCTGCCCAACCTCATGATGCTCAGCAACCTGCAGGTAGGTCAGGTAGTGTGACGGGCCGGTGGGTTGCGGGCTACTGTTGCTGTGACCCTGGTGCGGTGCAGATCACGGACCCGGTGCGGAAGGCGGCCATGTCGTGGCGCTCCAACAAGGAGGCGGCAAGCAGCCTGTTCCTGCAGCTGGGCGCGGGCGAGCCCGAGGGTGTCGTGAAGCGAGAGGAAGTCATCTTCAACGCCAGGACCAACTGGGAGCTGCTACGCACGCAGTCGTGCTGCGGCCCGGGCCCCGGCCCGGGCTACGTCAACGGCGTGGGGCCGCGGCCCGGCACGGCCACCGGGACGCCCGCCATCGACGGCGAGCCCTTCCAAGACGGCGAGGCCGACGACAGGGGTGCGCACCAAGGACTACAGGTGGGGTCTAAGTGCCCATTACGGACCCTCCCGCTCACAGTCGTTATTTCCCGAGTCACTCTCTCTCTTTCAAGAGTTTTCACATTTTTGTTTCCCACGTTGTTTCCTCACGTTTCGCCAGACTGCCCGGGGCGCGAGCAGGCTGGGGGTAGGCGGGGGCCCCTCGGGGGGTAAGCAGGGCACCGCTACGGTAGGGCCCTCGGCCCGGGTGGTGAACATGCTGGACCGCGCGGACAGCAAGCGGCGCGGGCTGGTGCGGCGCACGGCCTCCCAGGACACGGACACCTCGTCCACCAACACGTCCAACAGGTACGCGGGGAGCCTCAGGCGGCCACAGGCGGGCCGATTAGTGATGCCACCCCTCATGTCGTGTCCTTGTCGCAGCGTCGAGTTCTTCCGGCTGCCGCCGATCCTCGCTCCGCTCCTGGGCTTTCCGGAGGAGAGGCAGGGCGGCGGGGAGACCGGTGAGCAGCCGCCAGGGGTAGCCGCCCCCGCCGCCGCCGCCCCCAGCTCGGGGGCTCCGCGCCGCCCGCGCCGTTGCGACAGTGTATCCAGCGTGGAGCCCAACGTGGACACGTCGCTGAGCTCGCTGAGCGGTAGCAGTGCCGAAGAGGAGTCGGCGGACGAGTCCGAGGAGCTAGCCGCCCCCTCCACTCCGGCCCCTGCTGCCGTCGCCACCGCCCCCGGGCCGGCCGCCCCCGGCGAGCCGCAGCGCACCAAGAGCGCGACGCCCCACCGCCGCACCGCGCCCATGTACAAGCCGTCGCCGCCCAGGGCGTCCACGGCGCGCCCCAAGCCGCAGCAGGCCGGCGCTGGCCAGGCCGCTCTGCGTGTGGCCTCGGGTC